TCTCTCTCTCTCTCTCTCCCCCTCCCTCCCTCTCCCTCTCTCTCTCTTTCTTTTTCAACGGAGTTTCACTCTTGTCACCCAGGCTGTAGTGTAATGGTGCCATCTCAGCTCACTGCAGCTCTGCCTCCGGCGTTCAAGTGATTCTCCTGCCTCACCCCCCAAGTAGCTGGGATTACAGGGATGCAACAACATGCCCAGCTAATATTTTTTATTTTTTAGTAGAGACGGGGTTTCATCATGTTAGCCAGGCTGGTCTTGAACTTCTGACCTCAGGCGATCTGCCCGCCTTGCCCTGCCAAAGTGCTAGAATTACAGGCATGAGCCACTGTGCCTGGTCTTACAGTTTCTTTTGTAAGAAGATGTTTGATCTTCTTACAAAATGCATTTTTTTTCTATGGTATGGGACTATTCAGGTTTTCTGTTTTTTTCTTGAGTCTGTTTTAAGTTGCATTCTTGTGAGAGTTATTTTCATTGAATTTTTAGCATTTTGGCAAAAAGTTGCTTCTAATATAATCTTATTGTCTTCCGATAGCCTGCAGCCACCCGCAGTAATGTCACCTTTTTCATTTCTGAGACTGGACTGATCATTTGTGCTTTCTTTTTTCATTGACGATTTCATCACAAGCTAGTAGTCAATGTTATTAGTTTTGTAAAGAAACAATATTTGGCTTTGTTGATTATATCATTTACATGTATGCTATTTCAGTAATTTCTGCTCTTATATTTGCGTGCCCTTGTTAACCTTTCTTTGGATTTCCTTTGCTGTTCTGTTTGTGTCTCCTTGCGAATTCTGTCCTTCCTTTCCCACATACTCACTTCTTTGTCTATACATTTCTGAGCACTGATATCACTTTATGCTACACATTTTGATATGGTACTTTTTTTCTTTTCTTTTTTTTTTTTTTTTTTTTGAGACGGGGTTTCACTCCATCACCCAGGCTGGAGTCCAGTGGCACAATCTCAGCTCACTGCAAACTCTACCTCCAGGGCTTGAGTGATTCTCCCACCTCAACCTCCTGAGTAGCTGAGACTACAGACACATGCCACCACACCTGGCTAAATTTGTGTGTGTGTGTGTGTGTGTGTGTGTGTGTGTGTGTGTGTGTGTGCATTTGTTTCTGTAGAGATGGGGTTTTGCCATGTTGCCCAGGCTAGTCTCAAGCTCATGGACTCAAGTGATCTGCCCACCTCGGCCCCCCAAAGTTTGGGGACAACAGGTGTGAGCCACCACACCTGGCCTGTGGTATTTTCTTAGTAGTGGGAAATATTTCTAATTTCCATTATGATTTCTTCATTGACACATGGGTTATTTTGGCAGCATAATTCTCATTTTCGAATATGTAAGAATTTCTGGTTATAATTTACTTCTAGCCTAAAAGGTAAAAGTATTGTCAGAGAACATACCCTATATAATTTCAATATTTTAAATTTACTGTAGGGCTTATAATATGGTCAATTTTTATAAATGTCCTGTGTATGCTTGAAAAGAATGTGTGTTAAGTAGTCCCACGGCACACTGTTTTTGTTTATTTGTTTGAGATGGAGTTTCACTCTTCACCCAGGCTGCAGTGCAGTGACGTGATCTCGGCTCACTGCAGCCTCCGCCTCCTGCATTCAAGCGATTCTTGTGTCTCAGCCTCCCAAGTAGCTGGGATTACAGGTGCATGCCACCATGCCCGGCTAATTTTTGTATTTTTTGTAGAGACAGGGTTTCACTGTGTTGGCCAGGCTGGTCTCAAACTCCTGGCCTCAAATGATCCATCTGCCTCGGCCTCTCAAAGCGCTGGGATTAGATGTGTGAGCCACTGCGCCCGGCCCCATGGTGCGCTCTCACGTATGGGCGTCAATCAGGCCAATTTTGTTAAGGAGCCTGTTCCAATCTTCTACATCCCTCCTGATTTGTTCTATCAATTTCTGAGAAAGATATGCTAAAACCTCCCAAATATGATTGTGAATATGTGTGTTTCTCCTTTTAGTTCTTTACATGTTGAGGCCAGCAGAGGAAAAAATGGAATGATTTTTTAAACCCACAGCAGTGTTAATACAAAATAAGGCAGGAAAGAGAAAGCCCCTCAGAAGAGGTGGGACAAACAAAAAGCACAAAGCAAGGTCTGTTCAAGCCTAAACGGGTCCGGCATTCGACTACATTTAAATGGATGAAGGGCTCCCAGCGAAGAGCGAAGTTTATCAAGATGGTTTATGAGATAAAACCTGTAGGTTCTGCACAGGAGCCACATCCAGAACACAGATCCACACAAAGGGCAACAGCATGCCTGGTGCTCCTGACCAAGAACCCTCAGAGGGAGCAGTGAACTGTGGTCCTTGCACCCCCCGTGCCAGCCTCCCTTTCATTAGGTTTCCTGGGGATGGCAGGAAATCATAGGGACACGAGGAGCCCATTCATTTGTATTTTGAAGCAGAACCTTCACATGTTGCCGCCTGCTGGGGGACTCTGACTGGCACACTGGGAAGGTTGCGCCCAGGTCAGCCAGGACCTGTTTGGCCAGCCACCCTCCAGGATGGGGTGAGCAGACCTGGAGCCTTTTCTGTCCCCAATCCCAACCCCTGGAACTCCTTTGGGTTCAAAAACATTCTTCAGTTTCACCCATCAAAGCGACCATATTTGCTCTTCCAAGCCACAACGTACAGTTCTTAAAGGAGACGGGCACGTTATTGAAGACCTACACACATCTAGATTTCCCACTGAATCACTGATGTTAGAAGGCGTTTCAGTGACTGCGGACAGATCCTGTGTGTGCCCCAGGAGTCCTGTGGGAATTCCCCCGACCCTCCCTGGCACAGTCTCGAATGTTCTAGAGGATGTCTGGGAGAGGAGGCAGCATGCTGGTGGCACAGCCAGCCCCAGCCCGATGTGGGCCCATGGAGCTCCCTTTTACAGGAGTCAGAGCCTTCCTCAGCAACTCACTTCTTTAATTTCTGAATCCACAGGGTAAGTCTAGCTTAGACCAAGGAGCCGAGTTCTCCCAGATGAAAATTGTGCCAATATTTACTCCAAGAAAGCAAGAGCCCAGCCTTTCGTGGCTCCTGGGATCAGGAATGGCTGGTGGTCAGAAGGACATGCTCTCCCGGCTGCTCTGTGTGGGACACAGACCTAGACCTAGAAGCCTGCTTCTGTGGGAGGGACGTGGCTGCAGACCATGGGACTTCTTACCACTTACACCTTATAATCCACATTCTTAGAAGAATTTCAAACTTATTATACAGTCCAACTGGATCTGGACCACCTAGACCAGGCTGTCCTGAATACCCTCATCTGTCCTAGCAGGCAAAGGCCAGGAGGGGGCATCTGTGCCGGCACTAGTGAGGCTCAAGCTCTCTTCCCAGCTCTGCTGGTTGGTCTGCCTGTGACAGTACCACACTCATTTGTTCATTTGTGCCTGTCAGCTAGGGCTTGTGTGATGGTTGTTTGTGAAGCCAGCAAAGCAAAACCACCTGAATGTGCCACACGTTAAGGTGGTCCCTCTCCCATTGAGCCGACAGCCCAGTGGCCCCAGCTTAGAAGTGAAAGGAGAGAATGGGATACAGGCAGGCAGGATGGGCCAGCTGCAGCAGGGGTGGGCACGAGTCCTCTCCTCACAGCCAGTCAGGACACGGGTGGTTTCTCTTCTCAACTCTCCTGTGAAACTGTGTCCCACCCCTTGCTGTGCCCCTGAAACATGTTCCCTGCCTATCATCATAAGGAGAGCCCCTCAGGCCGGGGGAGCCTAGAGCCTTTCTCTCCCCAATTCCGTGCAAGCCTGGCTGTGAGTGAAGAGCCTCTGCATTTAAACATACTACTTGCATGACCTTAGGATCTGTTTCCAGTCACCTCGGGGCTCACTCTAGACCTGAAAGCATTATCCCGCCCCTTTGTGATATTCAGTCTCTCATGGGTACTCCCCTCTGCCTAGTGTCCTTGCCCTGCTGCTTCCACAGGGCGGCTAAGGGCAAGGGCTTCAGCTCCCAAGCCCCTTGCTCAGTTGCAGGGCACTTAGGCTCCAGGTGTGTACCCAGTGGCCCTTTATTTAGGGACACACCGGGCCCTGCAGCCACAAGGCACTGCTCCTGTAGCCAAGGTGGGCAGCCGGCATTGCCCCAGGCCACAGTGCTTGTATCCCAGGCTCCTCAGGGACCTGAAGGCAGGGCCAAGTGTGGCAGCCCACACCAGGCTGGCCCTGCCAGGCAACAGGTGCACACACAGTTCCTGAAGCCGCCTCAGGTCAGATGAGGGATTTGGGGCACACAGGTTGCACTTTGCCTGTCAGGAAGATGCTGAGGGAATGACAGCCAGGCCGGTTCCCACGCACCTCCAAGTGCCAGCTGAGGGGACTGTGAGAAGACACATTCCGGTCACCAGCACAGAAGTGGGCTAGCAACACCTGGTCATGCCTTTTCCCAAGACAAACCGAAGACTGGCCCAGCCCTTCCGGTGTGTTATAGGCTGAACCGTGCCCCTCCCCAAGTGTACATGGTGAAGGCCTAATCTCCAGTACCTCTGAATGTGACCTCCCTTGGAGAGGGGTTCTTTAGAGAGGTCGTCAGGTTAAAATGAACTCATTAGGGTGGGTCACAACCCCAAACAACTGCAGCCCTGATATGAAGGGGGAATTTGGAGACAGATGGGTAGAAAACACCATCTGAACAGGAAGAGAGCCATCTATAGGCAAGGAGAGGCCCTGGGCAGATCCCCCCTCTCAGCCGAGAAGGAACCGATCCTGACAACACCTGGACTGTAGACTTCTGGCTTCCAGGACAGAGACAGCAAGTGCTGCTGTTGAAGCTGCCCAGTCAGAGCTCCTCTGTGTGGCAGCCGCAGGGGACTCACAGAGTATGTGCCCCGGGAGTCCTGTGGGAATTCCCTCGCCCTTCCTGGCACACTCTTGAAAGTTCTCAAGGATGTCTGGGAAAGGCGGCAGCGTGTGGTGGCACAACCAGCCCCGCCTGGCGTGGACCCCCTGGAGCTCCCTTCTACAAGAGGCAGGCCCTTCCTTAGCTACTCACTTCTTTAATTTCAGAATCCACAGGGTTAAGTCCAGCTTAGACCAAGGGGCCGAGTTCTGCCAAATGAAATCTGTGCCCATATTTACTCCAAGAAGGCAAGAGCCCAGCCTTTCGTGGCTCCTGGGATCAGGAATGGCTGGTGATTAGGAGGCACTCTCCTGGCTGCTCCAGCTGTGTGGGGCACCCCCTGCATGTGTGGGGCACCCCCTGCATGTGTGGGGCGCACATGGCCTGTGCACAACATACACCTACAAGCTTGGGCGGTTCCAGTGGGAAGGACGGGGAGGGAAGCAGCATTGGATTGAATCTGAGCCAAGAAGGCCAGACAGAGGCTGAGCAAGTCACCCCCACAGCAGCCTCCCGAGCAAACAGCACCTGGGGTATCTGCACAGTTGGGACAAAGGGCGGGGCTCCCAGCAACAGGAAGAGAGATTGTGTCTCCTGGGAGGGTGGCCTGGGGTGGTGTGACGGGGCTTCCACGACACCACTGCACCCTCAGCAAGAATAAGCAGAGGTGGGGATGAGGAATGCTATTAATGCGCCCCCCACCTTGGGTCCCTGTGCTCCCCGCCCCACAGTTCCTCCTGGAGAGCTCTCGGGACTCCTCCCAGCAGGCTGCTCGGATCCTTGGGCAGGTCTGGGATCCCGGCTGGTGCCAATCCCGAGTTCGGCACGTCTGCATCCGCACTGGTGGCAGGAGAGGCTCCCTGCAGGGGTAAGGCAGCAGGCACTAAAGGAGGAAGGGGGCTCTGGCGGCCCCCGGAATGTCCCAGGAGGGAGTGTGCCGCTGGCGCAGTGTGGCAGCTGGGTGTGGAGGACCGCAGCTGCTGGGAAGGGCTGCGGTGGAGCCCTGGAGCTTCTGCCGGCGGAGCGTCTGAAGGCAGCAGAGGTGCCCGGTGAGCGGTCCCTCTGGAGAGTCCCGGCCGGTCACCAGCCCTGCAGCCCTCTCCCTGGCTGCGCAGAATCTTTGGTTTAGGCCTGGTGGGGCCCTTCTGCCTCCAGTAGGGTAGGTGTCTGTGACCAGGGCCATGAGCCCAGCGAGGTCCCCGAGGGAGGGTCCACATCCAGGAAGCTTGGCCTATCCGCCCAGGGCCTTGGGGGCGCCTCCCCAGCCGATTCACCTGGGTCCTCATGGTGGCCACCTCCTGAGCCAGGCCTGCCAGCGCCGTGGCAAGCCGATCCAGCTTCTCTGCGAGGGCAGCACCAAGGCTGTGCAGCTCCTGCTGTAGGGGCTTCCCACAGGGGCACGGCGGCTGCGGGGACGCGGCTGGCAAGGCAGGAGGTGCGGCTTCCAGAGGGGGCAGCTCCTGAGGGGGAGACTCACGGGGCAGCTCAGGTAGGCCCTGGGGGAGCAGCTGCCCATGGGTTTTGGCTAAAACCAGAGCAAGGACCGGTCAGAGTTCCTGGTCTGTAAGGACCTGTCTCTCCCCAGCAGTACCCTGAACTAGGGCGCTCAGTACCCTGCCTCCTCTAAGGCCCAGCTTCCAGAAGGGAAGGAAGGCGAGTCGGGCCTGAGAACACTGATGCCAATGCTTATGACATGAAAACTGGCTACGTCTCCTGGCTGTTCCACAAACTGATAGGGAGGATAACCGCAGGTTGGGGTTCCGTGGTAACCAGGCTTTCCTAGACCCTCTAGGAATTGGGGGGTCTTTGTGTTGTTGATGAGACCACATGGCAGCTCTGCCCTGGGAGTCAGTGAGAAGGGCCCAGACCACCCAGGACAGCATGAGGCCAAGGCCGTGCGGACCATCCAGGAGATGGGCCAGGAAGGCCAGGCCAGCCAAGGGTCTCCTGCACATTTCTTGTGGGGTGACCCTAGGCCACTCCAGTACTCAGTGCTATTGGCTACAGGCAAACCACAAGGGTTCCCACTCCCTTTTGCCTTTACTCTCCCTATTCAGAATTTACAGATTCATAGGAATTTAAGTCATAAAGTCATAAGCTTTTTTTTTTTTTTTTTATAAGGTCACCTAATCCTTCACCCTAAGTTCCCCTGGAGCTGGTCCCAACCCTGGGCAAACCACTAGGAAGGCTTGGCCAGGCCCCTGCCATTCCCACTCTGCTCAGCCCCAGGCTGGGTGCAGAGATGGTGTCTTCCCCGTTTCTCTGAGTCCCCAGCTATGGCTCTGCCCTTCTCTTTCCAGCACGTTCCAGGGCTTTAAACCCAGGAAAAAGTGAAGACTGGAGTAGCTAAAGGACCCAACCACTGTTTGGTCAAGTTCTCGGCCTGGAGACCCCAGCCAGGACATATACAGAGGATAGGAGGCTGGGTGGCCCCAGGCAGCTCAGAGCTCTCAGCAAAGCGGTGGCTGGGACAGAAGCCAACACCCCAAACCAATAAGAGCACCTGCTGCAGGCCACACTGAAAGCTCCTGGTATGGGGCTGTCCCCGAGGGACCCAGGGCACCAGGTGCCAGCCCCCTGCATGTCTCTACCATGGGTCCGCAGGGGCAGGTGTGTGACATGGAGCCAACACTCTCACAATGACCGTGGCCAGGTCATCCTGGTCTCAGTTTCCTCACCTATTCTCTAAAGTCCCCTCAAACCCCAAACTTTGATTCATCACTTCTCAGTTTCCACCTCTAAAAGGTGTGTCTGCTTTTATGAAAATCTAACTGGTTCTATAATAAACACTGAAATGAAATATGCAGGCTGAACCTTCCTACCCATGACCCAAAACCTGAAAGGCTATTTTCGCCAAGCTGGGACTCTGGGTCCTGGCCCGTGCAGAGGGAATGGGGGAAGCCACCAGTTCACCTGCAACTCTGGGTCTTCCGTGTCCAGGCTCCAGGCCTCTGGAGGCTTCACCAACCCTGGGCCCAGGCCTTTTCTCCAGCCGAGAAACAGGGCTGGGATCCCCAGCTGCACCTGCAGAGAGCACAGAGACCTTGGGGCAGGGAGGTGATCATTCGGCCAGAGCCATTCTGACATACCCTGGAATATCAACCTCTCAGCTTTTAAACAACGGGGAAATGAGATGGAAGACGGACACTCAACCCATGAGGGAGCCTAATTCTGGTGGAAGGGCCAGAAGGGAAGAAGGGAGCCAGACACCACACTGTGGTCCATGTGTGTGGTGTTCCTGCCCTGTCTGGAGGGGGCTCCGGCAGGAGGCGGCGGCTGGGGAGGAAGCTGGGAGAAAGGGCTCTGATCTTCTGATCTGCGAGTCCTGCCCCAGTGAGACTTCCAAGGGCGTGTGGGGGCATCCTGGTCCACACCCAGCCCACTCTGCCATTTTCCACCAGGCCCACTGGGTAGTGAGGAATGTGGTACAGCCTGGGCCTACAGAGAACAGGGCCAGGGCCTGCCATGGAGCCAGGCAGAAGTTGGGGAGAGCTCCCTCCCCTGGCCATTTCTGGCCTCCTCATCCTCCTCCCCTTCCTCCACCACTGCTTCTCCCTCCTCCTCCCCCTTGTCCTCCAGCACTCCTGAGGGGCCAGGCCAGCAGGTACCCTCTAAACTCTCTTTTCTCCCAGGCAACTGGGACCTGTCTCCTGTCCCACCTTCTGCTTTTCCTGCTGGGAGCAAACAGTGGGTCACAGTGAGACTGAGAAGCAAGGTGGCCTGGGGTAGCAGGCAGCATTTCTAGCTTTCCTAATGCTAGGAAAGACGTCCCCCAGGTGGGGAAATCTCACTTGAGACTTTTGTTGTTGATTGCCAAGTTTTAAAAGCATACACTATTATTGTATAAACACATCCATATCTGTCTACACACAGGTGTGTATATTAGCAAATGTATACGCCGTGTATGTGGCATCAAGCAGGTGGCCCAGACCTCCCTGCAGCTGCTCACCAGCACACCAGCAGCCCTGCCCTTCCTCTTGGACACAGCTCACCCTACAAGGAACTAAAGCACTGCTAATGTACAAGACTCCCTGGCAAGAGCCAGGCAAAGTGACAGGTGGGACTCAGAGGATCCAGTCTGGCCTCCTGGCCCTCTGGGGGATGCACGGGCAGCCCCTCAGGAAACCCCAGGCTCACCTGCACCAAGGCCACTGCAGTATCTGGGCTCTGTTCTCCTGGGGTCTTCACCAGGACTGCTGCCACTGCTGCCAGTGGGAGTCCCACCGGGACATGGGGACAGAGGAACAGGAGGCTTACAGCTGGGAAGGCGGTCCCTCTCTAATACCACAAACAAAGCTGGCATCAGAGTGATGACCAGTGCCCTGGCACACACCCCGCCATCCTCCCTCCCCACACAGGCTCACCCTGGAGGAGCGGCCTCCAGAGCTCAGGCTCTGGCCTCGGGTCTTCTTCAGAGCCGCTGAAGCTGGAGCTGGAGCCGGGGCTGGGGCTGGGGCTGGTGCCTGCCACGCAGGCGAAGCGTAAGGGCCGCACAGGCAGGATACCCCTCAGGGCGCTCTCCAGACAGTGCAGCGGGGAGGGCTTGGGGGCAGGCCCTGGGCAGGGGACCAGAGAGTGCTCTGTCATCAGCCTCAAGAGAGCCAGGCCTCTGCCTTAGTGTCTGGGCACACAGAACCGGGCCCTTTCAGCTCAGCCCACACCCAACATGAGTTCTGGGGGACTCTAAATGGCTCCCTCTCCTGCCATAGAAGTAGGACAAAAGTGAAGCCAGAGCCTGGCCAGGACCCCAGCAGCTTTGGAAAGTCTGCCGGCGAACTTTCCGGGAATCTCCAGTCCTTGGAAGCCATTAGCAGTCAGGTTCTAGCCAGGCCTAGGTCTCAGAGGTCAGGCGGCCTCTCCCCCCGGGAGGTGCCATCCCTGCACCCAAGTATCTCACAGGGGTCAGGAGCCCAAGGGCGGGGTTCTGTTGGGGCCCGCCCTCATCTGGCGGGAGGGTCAGCAACACCGCATGTATTCAGCAAAGGCATCCCACCAGCCCTGCAGCAGATCCAGGAAGGAATCCTGCTGGAAGTTAAACCAAGAAGCAGCAGTGGACAGCGGGAGCCCCCAAGAAGCTTCTCCACTGGAGAAACCCGATGGATGGACACAATGATCTTCCCGTCCCCACTTCTTGTCACTTTGTGACACTTTATCTTCTTGTTTAGTGAACCTTAGTTTCTGTTTGGCACCAGCTTCTGTCCTCTGGGGAAAGGATGGGGCGTGGGGAAGGAAAAGAGGGACCGAGAGGGGAAGTCTATTTCCTTGCCAAAACACTTTAACTAAAGCGTGGTTGTCAGCACCAAGGGCAGGTGCCAGCTCACCCTCTGGGAGCCACCTCCACACTCGTGGCCTGGTGGCCCCGGGGTCTTTGAGCCCCCGCTGGTGGCAGGTAGGGACGCAGCTGGAGGTGAACACCTGTGGGCTGGCCAGATGGAGGCTCCGGGTGGGCGCTTCTCCCCCACCCTGCCCGAGACGGGCTGACTCACAGGCCTCGGCCCTCAGTCCTGTTTTAAAGAGAAACCAGAAGGCCTGTCAGCCCCACTGTGTCAGCCTCATACTGCCACAGAAGGGACAGGGAACAGTTTCTGCTGTTGCTAGGCTCTCAGTCACACCAGCATCAGGAGTGGGAAACACCCAGCCTGCTGTGTTCCTGGGAGCAACCGAACCCTCCAGAACCTCTCTGTTCCCAGACCCAGCTGCATGGACCCCTGGGCTCAGAGACTGGTGCCTAGACACTAAGACACGTGGGGCCAGCACGGCTAGGACAAGGACACTCAGCCTCAAGGAGCCAGCTCCAGCCGGGACTGGAGCCACAGAGAGTGGCGCTAAGGTGTCCCCGTCCCCGTCGCTCAGATGCCAGCAGGTCTGCACATGTGTGCTGAACAGACTATCTGGCATTCTGGCCTCCAATATGGCTCTGCCCAGGCCTGTTTCCAGAGCACCATGTTGGCTCAGGTGGGGATGTGAGCCCACAGGTGCAGCACCCAGGGCATCCTCGGAGATGCCCTGTCTACGTGCAGGGCCCCGGCAGCCACTATTACCTTCCTTGTCTGCTGTCCAGGGCCTGGGCTCTGCTCTCCTCGGTCCCCTGTCTGCTGCTGAGGAGCAGGGCCAGGCAGGCCACGGCACAGGAACGGCTATCTCCTTGAGACAGTTCTCCAGGCCCTGCAGCGGGGAGCTTCCCGGTGGGCTTCCTGTGAAGAGCAAGCGTTCGCAGATGAGGAGGGCTGTAGCTCAATCTCTGTGAACCGCAGAAGCCTCCCCTCTTCTGCTGTGTCCAGCGAGGGGGGGTTGCGGGGGTGCTAGGTACAGAGCACTGGACTTGTCAGCCCTGGCTCAGGGGTGGCCCTGCTTTGGCTGCCGTGGAAGAAGTCGGACCTGTCTGGCCACCCACACAGAAGCTCAGTCTGCAGCTGTTATGAGGACACTGGCCACAGATGTGGGTTCTAGTCCTCCTGAGCACACCCAGCTGCCACCACTGTGAGGGACGACACATCCTGTGTGGCCAGCACAGGGGATGGCCCTGGAGATGGAATGTGCTAAGGCTTCCTTCACCACTCACAGCAGGGGAACAACACAGGCCCCCTCGCGTCTGGGCCAGGACAGGCCAACACACATGCAGCTTCAACTCAGCAAGAACTAAACACGCCGCAAACATCCTATTTCCAGTGACAGCTACGCGAACAACGGGAACTAGATGGACTGCAACGCTGGAGCGAGGAGAGCCCTTCCTATGGGGCAGACAGTGCTGCCACTCTCTTTCCTGGAGGTGTCTGCTCATGCTTCTGGGCCCAGGCATAGGGCAAGAGAGCAATCCTCAGAACTTCTGAATGTCCATGGGCTGGAAGGGCAGTGTGGAAGGCAGAGGACCTCCGCATGCATTTTCTCCACAGCACATCCGCTGAGTTCTGGGGCAACAGAGGGAGCCGGGAGGTGGCTGGAAGCTTCTGAAAGGCAGTGTGAAATTTCCTGCAGTTTGGGTTACGTAGAAAACAAGCAGGATGCATGTAGCATGCTACCGAATACCACGCTGCTGTTCGAAAGAAGAAACTGGTGCTGGTGGCCAAGGAATATGAACGTATACAAACAGGTCAAAGACAAAAGCTGATGACAAAGACTGGAGGGGACATGTATAGATGCTGCCCTCTGTGAGGAGAAGGAGGGCAGTGAACTCACAGCAGTGGCAGGAGGGGCTGGAGGACAGACAAGGGAAGAAGACTTCATTTTTCCCACATAACCTTTTTAGCTTTTGAATGAAGCTATGTGATTGTATTACCTATGAAGTCAGTTGCATTTTGAGGAAAATGCCCCACACCCAAGGGGTTAATCCACAGTGGGGCTTGGGATTTCAGGCTGCTGTGGATGCTGGCAGGTCCCAGGCCTTTTCTACAAGCCCCACAGGCCTGGCTAGAGCCATGGCTGCAGCGAGAGGCCTGTTCAGGAAATATGTTTGCAGCCAGAACACAGGCAAGCGTGGAGGGACTAGGTCCACAGGACAACTCAGACAAAGAGGACTCGGGTTTTTCGGGTGGGGGAAAGAAGAAGGCCAAGAGGGGATGCTGAGGGTCCCGCAAGAGCCCCAAGTCTGCAGCAATGACTCCACTGGAGTGACCAGGGAAGCACAGGTCACCAAGCACACTCCCAAGTGTCTCTGACATGAACCTCACTGTACATTTTCCTAAGCTGGAGGTCAGTCTCATATTACAGGCAATTCTTTGTGGCTAGGGTAAGGAATTCAATGCAAAAGGAAATTGTTATATTTATTTATTTATCAGATGGGGTCTCACTGTCACCCAGGCTGGAGTGCAGTGGTGTGATCATAGTTCACCACAGCCCCAAACGCCACGGCTCAAGTGATCCCTCCGCTTCCTGAGTAGCTGGGACTAAAGGCATGTGCCCCTCCACCCAGATAATTTTTTAAATTTTCTATAGAGATGGTGTCTTACTGTGTTACCCAGGCTGGTCTCAAAACTCCTGGCCTCAACTGATCTTCCTGCCTCAGCCTCCCAAAGTGCTGGTGTTACAAGTGTGAGCCACTGTGCCCAGCCCAAAAAGAGATTTTAAAAGAAATCTTAGACATTATCCTGTCCCTCCTGAGACAAGTCACTAAAACGGAGCCCCCTCTCCACCCTCAGCTCCCACAACCCGCCTAAGATAAGTCCCGCCTGTGTTCCTGCCTCAGTATCCCTGGCTCTGCTCCCAGCACTGGCATAGGGGTCTGACCCAGTCAAGCCAGAGAGACCGGGCAGGGGATGTCTTGAGTCCTCTCGGTGAGTCCCCTGGATGAACCCCAGCCTTGGGCTGGCCCAGCTCACCTTTTCCAGGCCGCTGCCCCTGGCTCCCCACAGGGCTCCCAAAATCCAGGTCCCAGTCGGTGCTGCTGGTTGAGGAAAAGCTGGTGGGGGTTCCTCGGGGGGCCAGGGGCCGGGAGGGGCCATCTCTCAAACAGCCCTGCAGGCCCAGAGGCAGAACAGGCTCCCTGGTCACTTCTGCAGGGAACAGCACAGTTGTGGTCACTGGGGGGCTCACTGGAGAAGAGACCCCTGGGCCCTGGAGTGCACGGGCACCAGAAGACCCTCTCCTGAATACCTCCCACTAGGGCTTCCCTATGGTACTGATTAAATTCCTGCGGCATGTTCCCCACAGAAACCCCACAGTGAGTCTTGTGTGACTGGAGAGTTCTGAGAAGGAAGTAGGGCAGGAAGATCTGCACTGGCTGTCACCAAATGCGGGCAGCTGTTTGGGGGTGAGAATGAAAGGGGACCTAGAGTGAGTGGGCCTGTGCCTCAAGAGGCGGGGAAGACAATGACCCCACAGTCTCAGCACCTGCCTCTGCAGCCCACCCAGGGACACGCCACCCCACACCCATAGCCACAATCTACCTTCACTGTGTGATCTGTGGGGCTGCACTTCAGTCCTCTGAGACCCACAGTCTCCTGGCTGGGGGTTCTGTGACCAAGAGGTGGCCGGCGGCTGCGAAGGTGATGGCCTGCTTGGGGGAATGCCCTTCAGACAGGCTTCCAGGGCTTCCAGCGGTGAGCTTGAGGCACCGGCAGCTGGGATGGGAGAGCACCCGGTCACTATCTCCCACACACCCCAACCCTGCCCAACAGAACCGTGGGCTTTCTGCGGGGTGGTGAGTCCTGCACCAGGCTCTGGGACCCCCCCAGGCAAGAAACCCTTCAGTGGGGAACAGATCTGCTCTCGTACCCCACCCCGCTCCCTGGAAGGCGTGAAGATAGGAGGGGAGTGAGGAGGGACACATGTCAGCAGGGCCAGCTTCCGGGGCCAGGAATCACTGCAAAGTGAAGGTCCAAGGTAGGGGGGCTTGGGCAAGGGCCTGGGCTGAGGAGGACCTGGAGGAAGGGATTCACTGCTTAGGAAGGAAGGCCAGGGGACAGCTCCCTGCTGACAGCTGCTTTCCTGGAGTCTGCAGTAACCTTGCCAGGGACTGACAAGCCCATGGTAAGGACCACCGGAGCAGCCAACCCCAGGCCTCACCTTCAGCCACTGCCAACCCGAGGCCTCACCTTGAGCCTCAGCCAACCCCAGGCCTCACCTTCAGCCTCAGGGCCCCAGCTGGCCCCAGGGACTCCTCTGGTGTCTCTCATGGCAGAGGGGCTGAGGGACTGCCTGCCAGGCTGACAAGATGCGGGTCCTGGGGAGCTCTGGACCCAGCTGTTCTCCATCTTCACAGAGACCTGGCCACCAGCTCCAGGACCAGGATGGGGAGGGGGGGTCAGGAGGTGTCCAGACCCTGCAGGAAGAAGCCACTAGGAAGCCCAGGATTCAGGCCTGAACTCGCCTTGAGAGTCCCTTGAAGCCTTTATAGGGTTAGGAGGGGCTTCCAAGAGCCCTGTGCCTCCATGGCAGTCACTGGCTCAGACTTCTGTCATTTGTCAATCACCAGCAGAGAGACTGAGTCACACATCTCCTCCCCTACCATGGCCCCTTGGGGTGCCTCCGAGGTTTCTTCCAGGCCTTAAGTCCCCGGACAGCACCAGTCATGTCTTTCCCCATGGCCAGCATGCCTGACTCCACCCAGCTGCCCAGGGCTTTGTTCTGAGAAGTAACAAGCTGAGGTGACATGCACGGAAACATGAACCCATGTGTGGGCTGGGTGGGCATAATTAGGATTTGGGGTTCCCAGCCCTCACACACATAGCAGGAACCCCAAATTTCAGTTATGCCAACCTGGCTCAAACACACAGGGACCCTAAATCACGATGAGCTGCGTGTCTGCTGGGCTAGAACTCCATCCTCGCTTTCTTGGTCTTGCTCCCTCCCCACTTTCCGTTTGGAACGTCCAGCTCTTCCTCTAAGAGCCAGCCTGAGAATTCTCAAGTGCTGGCCGAGCCCCTCCTACACAGCTCACTCCATTTACACAGTGAGGATCCCTTGCGTCTGGCTCCACTCCCTGACAGGCCAGTGTGGGGGCCTGAGTGTCTATGGTGGGGGCCACCTATCGCCCTGCCTGGGGCAGGGTCATGGAGGACGTATGGGGGCCTTCCCAGCCCAGTGAGAAGCCTTTACCTCCAGAACCCCTTTTCCAGGCCCCTGGATCCTCCTGTAGTCGTGGGTCCCCCACTCCTGAGGGACTGGGATGCCTGGCCTGGGCCTCGGGAAGCTCCTTCAGACAGTTCAGCAGACCCTGGAGGGGACAGTCCCCTGAAGCTGCCTCTGTCTTCACTAAAGGAAAAAGGAACACGTTTTCACCCGGAGCCCAGTATCCTCAGCCTTCATGACAAACAACAAACAGGGGACAAGTTAGAAGGGCACAGGAACAACTCTGAAGATGAGGAACTTCCAGCGGTTCACTGAGTCTTGTGAGGGCCACTGTCTTCTCTGTGCCTGGGTCCACGCACCCACCAGAACTGGATGGGGCAAAGAGGGAAGGCATAGAAGTCGCCCTGAAGGCAGACATAAGGCATCACTCTGAGGACAAATTGAGGAAAGTGGGCTGTCGGGGTCACTGCTCGAGACCACTCTGTGGGTCCTGAGCAGAACTTACATCGGAGGAGGATGGAGTTGTACAGTAAGTACATGACTGCGGTTAAGCTCACCACGACCCTGTGTGTGGGAACGGCCAAGGCTCAAGACGTCAGCAGCCTTTCAGGGTCTGACTCCAAGACCTGTGCCCTGGCCCCGACACCACGCTGCCCAGAGCCCAAGCCCACCCCATGCATCATGCCTGGCATCAATGCAAAGTGACACATGAGCTCTGCAGCTCTTCCCCTCGGGTCTCAGGTCGGGAGGGGGAAAGGACATGAAGAAACCAGGGCAAAGCCTGCTTCCAAGTTTCCTTTTCCCAGCTAACCAAACGCTGGCCTTAAGAGAGCCACCTGGCTCCAGAAAGGTGACCCTGGCAACACAGCAGCGGCCAAGCTGGTAACAATTCCTCAGGGAGACAGTTTGGAGCAGGAGGAATCGCTGCTGAAATGCAAACCAAGCTTCAGAGGCCTTGGCCTGAGACCCCAGCACTCACCTGCCCAGGGTGGGCTCCCCGGCCCCAGGTCTGCTTTGGATGGCCTGGACGTGCCCAGGCTGGGCAGAGGCGGTAGGAAGGCTGGGGATGTCTCGGGGTGCTGGGGCCCAGGCACGAGGATTTCCTTCAGACAGTTGATGAGGCCTTGCAAGGGGCTGTTCCCAGGAGTAATTCCTGTGGCACACACAAGGTCGGCCGAGGTCAGTGCAGTCCTGACAGGGCCCGGGGCTGCAGCAGGCACTCAGGGCTCTCTGGGCAGCTGAGATTCCCACCCATGAGAATATGTTTGTGGAGCTGCCACCAGGCCAGGACGGGGAGCAGCATGCCCTCCTCGTGTGAACTAAACAGGCCTCCCCTTCGCCATGACCCTCAGGAAAGCCCGCCTCTCACCAGCCTGTGAGGTCCCTCTCTCCTGTACTCCGTGGCTCTTCCTCCTGCCGGGGCTAAGGGTGGGAGGGCTGGGCTCCCTGCCAGGGGCTCCTGGGCCTTCCTTCCTCGTAAGCCATGATTTGTTGGCAGTTCCTATAGCAGGAGAAGACAGGACGGCCTTTCTAGCCCCAGCTCCAGACTCCAGGAGTCACCTCAGATCTGGTCCCCGTAGAGGACAGCCCTCTCCAGCTGCCCAAGTCCCTGTTCCAGGAGGGCTGAGGGCCTTTCCCTGGTTCTTTCTGGTTTAACTGTAAACAGCAAGACTGCTGGTTCACTGTGAACACCCGAGACCCTTCCCCGAGCCCAGCCTCCAAATTTGGCTTGGCAAGTGATGCCGGCAACCTGGACATGTAGGCCACAATCTCAGACTCACGCTTCTCAGACCAGGGCACACAGAGCCCCGGAGCAAGTGTGCCCAACAACCCCTGGACACCAGATGAAACCACAGCTCAATGGGGTATGTTTCTGGGGAGTGACAAAGCCACACAGAAACCACCATGAAAAAGTCAGAGCTGCCCTCTCGTCAGCTATGCCCATGTGCTCCGAGGGCGGCACATGGCCTGGCCATGAGGAACCGCAGGTGACTCTGCCTCCCCGCCTGTGACAATTTTATTCCATTTTAATTTGAATTATTTTTCATAAAAAGTTAGACAAATGCAAAATTTGTCAGAAGTTTTAAAAATAAAACGTGACCCCAGAGAAATCCTAGTAGCTCCCCTTGCCCTGCTCTGCTGATAGGGTTGCTGTGATGAGATGATCTGAGGTCAGGCCAGTGCACACAAGCATGCGACTGTTGCCTGCCGCGGGTCTGCGTGCTGGAAACTGCCGGAGGCTTTCTGTGTACAAAGTACTCGGAGATCGGGGCGGGGTGAGAGCCTCCCAGGGACCGGGCATCACGCCTCTTCTTTGGTGTTTACACCAGAGGCTAAACACATCCTGCTCCCTGGGGTACTCTGTCAACAAGAGAATGCAGCAACAGAGGAACAGAGTCTTAGAAAAAAGTGAAGAGGGCATAGGCTCCAGGTCCCCTGATGCCATGCTCAGGGCTCTTGAAATGCTGGTTCTCCCTGTCCCTGCTGTGTCAGACTCACTGGTAGGGAGAGGACTTCCCTGGACCGCATCACCAGGTGGGCCACTGGAGCACGAGCTGTCAGTGGGTGTGGTGGCCAGGCGGGACTGGCTGGCAGGGCCGTCCGGAAGGCAGTTGAGCAGGCCTCGGAGAGGGCAAGGCTCCCTTGCCACAGCTGCTATCAGGAAAGAGGGAGAAGACAACAGCTGGTAAGATGTCCCTAACATGGTCACACTGTCACATTCTGGGTCCCTTCCTTGCCATGTGCTGTTAACAATAACCAGGATGTCAGCCATCTATGTGTTGTCATCACTGGGCTCTGAGTAGGGCCACGGGGCATGGGGGGGTGACAAAGCCACACAGAAACCACCATGAAAAAGTCAGAGCTGCCCTCTCGACAGCTATGCCCATGTGCTCCAAGGGAGCACGGCCTGGCCATGAGGAACAGCAGGTGACTCTGCCTCCCCGCCTGTACCTGGGAGCCCGCACACTGTGCAGTGCCATGGACTTGTGCTTCATCGTGGGGAGTGCAGAGGAGGCTGTGTGTACTGCCTCCGCTATCTGACTTACCCTCGGGGCTTGCTTGCTCTTCATCCAGGCTGGCTCCCTGGCTCTCACTCTTGGGGCTGTCCATGGCACCCTTGACTTCCCCAAACAAGAACTCTGGGATCTCTTTCACCAGCTGTACCAGGGCGGTGAGGTGCAGGCTGTGCCGGGGCTGTCCCTCTGTGGAGAGACCACAGTGACTCCCGCGCCCCTGCGGCTGCTCAGCACTCACACCCATGTGTGTGTTTCACAGCCAGCATCCCACATAATCCTCCCAGCCACAGGAGGAGCTGCCAGAGGAGACACCATGTCCCGTGAGATGTCGAGGACTTGGGCTCAGGCCAGGCGCCCTGGCCAAGGGAAAGCCAGGGCACGGGGCCAGGGCCTGGGTAACAGGGCTCTTCTGTTCTCTGTTACTCGTTAATCTCTCTGCCTCCCAGGGGGATGCCCAGGCGGGCTGCTTCCATACCGCTCCCACCATCTGGGCTCTCTGCCTTTCCCGGCACCCCCTAAATGCCCAGCTCACCCAATCTGGGCCAGTGGAGCACATCCACCATCTGAGGTCTTGGGAAGTGAGCCTTGTGGCAGGACTTTTGGGAGCTGTGGGCAGGTTCTGCAGGGGTGGCTGGGATAAGGCTTCAGGGTGGTGGCAGGGAGGAGGCCTGAGGCAAGAGGTACTTTCCAGGGTGACCCCAGGCTTCCTCTGAGTGCTTCTCTGCATGACAGCCTTCCGGCCCAGAGGCATGAGGGGTAGAAGTCCAGAAGGCTGCGGTAGGGGAGCCAGGGAGGTGGGAGGCTGAACTGGGCAGGCTGAGGTTGTGTACTGCCAGGGGCTGAGGACCTGTGTGTGGGAGGAGAAGTCTGACAGATAACTTACCCTGGAGACCTCCGCAACCAGCAGGCTCCTGCCCCTCATCAGTGCGGCTTCCTCCCCCAACAGCTCCTCCAGGCTCTGGGGGTGACAGGAAAGCAGAGAGGGGGAGCAGCTCAGCTGTCCCTGGGAAAGAAGAGGGAACTGTGGCCCTGGAAATGGAGTGACCCCGCCTTGCACACGGCCACGGAGCAGCCCAGGCCACTGCGTGTCTGTGCACATTCACATGATCACTTACACTCAAAGAACCACAGAGTGGCCGGAACCTCGGAGGCCACCGCATACCCCCACCTAATTGTACGTAGAACCCAGCCCAGGGATGCAGAACAGCAGCAGCGTGAACAATCCCCAAGTGGAAAGACTAAGGCTGCCGCGTCCCACGGACCGTGGCCTCCCTGCCACCGCCCACCCGCTCCTGCCGCATGTGCTGCTGCCTCCCGTCCTTACCCACAGACACCAGCGTCTCGTAGTTCTCCCGCATCACGTCTCGGTAGAACTCCCTCTGCCCCTCCTCCAGGAGCCGCCACTCCTCCTCCGAGAACCGCACGGCCAAGTCCTTGAAGGTGATGGACACCTGCAGGCACAGTCTCCGGGGGGGTTGGTTGTTCCATCCCAGGGGAGCCAGCCTAGCTGTCCCTGCACCTAGCGACCCTGCCCGGGCCTCCAGGTGCATGCTGGGGAGCAGGAGAATAGCCAGAGCCCGGGGCAGGGTCTGACACGTAGGAATCCCCTCAGGAGACAGTGCTGGGGGTGAGCTGCGTCCCTGCAGACACACTCTGAAGTCCTAACCCCTATGCCTGTAAATAGGACCTTATTTAGAAACAGGGTCACTGCAGTGGGAATTAGTTAAGACTAGGTCATACTCCTAAGTAGGGGGTCCCTTAGTCCAGTATGACTCATATCCTTATCAGAAGAGACACAGAGACAGACACACGGGGAGAAGGCTGTGTGAAGACAGGCAGAGACTGCAGTGATGCCGCCACAAGTCAAGGAATGCCCAGGGCCACCAGAAGCCACGAGAGGCAAGAAGGATCCTGCCCAGAGCCTTGCGAGGGAGTGTGGCCCTGCCCACACTGTGATGTGGGGGCTCCAGGCCTGCAGAGCTGTCAGAGAATACGCTGCGTTGTTCACCTAGTTTGTGTGCGGGTTAGAGAAGTGCTCAGAAGAAACCTGGGGCCGCCCTTGGAAGCTTTGGGTCACCAGGGTCCGCTACACTCTGTATCCCATCTCCTGGTCTCTGTACTCACCTCCTCCTACCCTGTGGCTTTTTAAAATAACATGACCATTTTTGTCTAAGTTTCTTTAAAAATGGTCCTTCAGTGGACTTTAACGTGGCCATCAGACACTAGAAAATGACCAGCATCAATAAGCTTGAATTTAAGATTATGGCAAAAATTAACTGTGCAAATTAAGCAAACGGGAGGTAAATTATGGGACGGGTCCTTCGTGTTGAGAAATGAATGTGAAACTATTTATTTGTAAGAACGAATTCTTGAAGAAAATGAAAATGCTCCTAATAAAGCAAGGATAATTCACCACTTGTTTCATCTGTTCAGGGCAGTGATTTTAATTAATTAATAAAGACAGGATATTACTATGTTGCCCAGGCTGGTCTTGAATTCCTAGGCTCAAGTGGTCCTCCCACACTGGTCTTCCAAAGTTCTGGGATTGCAGGCGTGAGGCACCACGCCCGTCAAAGTCAGCATTTCTAAAAACCGTCCCGGGTCAGGTGTGGTGGCTTCTGGCCTATATGGTGAAACTCCATATCTACTAATAATATAAAAATTAGCCAGGCGTGGTGGTGGGCGCCAGCAATCCCAGCTACTTGGGGGGCTGAGGCAGGAGAATCACTAGAACCTGGGAGGCGTAGGTTGCAGTGAGCCGAGATCATGCCATTGCACTCCAGCCTCTATCTCAAAAAACAAAACAAAACAAAACCATCCCTGTTCCATGCAGTCACACCTACCAGTGCAAGGGGCAGTCCCTCCTGTGACTGCCTGCCTGCGGCCCAGAGGCCCGTGGGCAGTGAGATCCCATGGCCTTCACCTCCTGCCTTGATGTGCAGACTCTCCCTGAGCAAACCTCTGTGGCTCTGACCCAGGTATGGTCACTCTCTCTCAGGAACAGTCTCAGACACCCTCCAAAACTTTTCTCAAAGAGTCATTTACATTTCTTCCTGGCATCTTGGAACAGAGAAAATATAGCCAACACCAGGGTCTATGCAGAAGAGCTCACAGAGCAGCTCTAGACCACTGTCCTTAGGAAGGCAAGGCCTGCTTGGCAGGAGGGCCCTGGGCTGGCTTCTAGGCACTTAGGTGCCAGGAGGCTTCCCACTATTTCCTAAATGATGGGAGTGGCTCAAGAGGCCTAGATTGCGCAAACAACCTGGTGCGTGCCACACCCCTGCCTTCCTTCTGGGAGTCTGGAATTTTGGTTCATGCCAGGCAGAGGGCTCCCACATGACATTTTGGTGGCTCAACACAGAGCTGGCAAGGCAGGTCTGAGCCCTAGGTAAGAACACGACACCAGCTGTGCTGGTTCCATTGGTACCACTGCTGGCCTGATGTGGCTGTTAAGAAGTTCTGGACCCAGAGGCTGGGGCAGAGCATGGTGACTGGGGCTTGGCCTCAGGAGCCAGGCTGCCAGAATTCCAATCCCTGCCTTGTTTCATATTAGTTATGAGACCTCAGTCAAACCTAACCCATCTGGGTCTCAGTGAACTCACCTGTAATATCAGGATCATAACAACCTACCTCATAGAGATGTTGTGAAGACAAAACAAATATGGGAAGAGTGCCTGGAACCCATGCAGGGACTATTAACACTAAGTGCTATGATTAGTAATACTGTAACCAGGCCTGTCTGCCTGACGCCCACTTGCAGGTCTGCCCCGCCAGCTGAGCTCTTCCACACACTGCTCCTGACCACCGGTGCCTCTTGCTCCAGGCTAAATATATCCCCGCTCTTCCAGGAATCCTAAGAGATGCTTTCCAGGCCTCTCACCATCTCAGCCTCAAGGCAAGCTGTTTTGAGACCAAATTCTTATAAAATGCGAATGAGAACTGACTGTGGCCAGGGTAGGCGCTTCCGCCAGTGGCCTCCCTCTGCCCCAAAAAAGCAAAGGAAGAGTGAGGGTTTTGTATGTGAAGGAGAAAGCAAGTGGGAGTGTGCAAATACTGGGCCACAATACTCGTCTTTGAGAGGAGGAAGGCCACCATTGGCTGGCTATGCCCACACACTACCAGACTTCCTCCTGAGGCCTCAGTTCACCTCTGTTCTCCAACCAATAGAGAAAAGTTTTCTGGGCTGATCCAGGGGGCTGTAACCCGGCAGCCTCCTAGCTCATGGTTGCACACCGGTCCTCCTAACACAGCCTTCCACTGTGTCACTAGCCCAGCACAAAAACTGCAGCTTCAGTGGCTGCTGGACCTGTTCCTCTCTCAGGGTCCTTCCCAGCCCACACCTGCTCTCCCAGTGGGTATCAGGCTCAGGTTCCCAGATCAGACCCTGGCCCAGGACCCCTCAACCTGGAGGCTGTGCTCACATCCCCCTGGGCTTCTGGGAGCCCTCCTTGCTCCCCTCCACCTGACTGTAACCTACCACTCCCCAAGGTCACTCCTGGCCACCTTTTCCGTGAAGCTATGTGGCGTGCGGATATTCCCCTCCCCAAACATCAAATCTGAAAGGTCAGTGGCCCAAACTCACCATTTTACAGAACAGGAAACTGTGGTATGTGGTATGGGGAGGCCTTAGGATGGGGCCATGGGCATGTCTCAGCCAGGGTGTCCCTGGGCTACTTAACTGTGCAGTCAGCCCTGAAAAGAACACTTGACTGTCCCTGCCCAACAACATCCAATTTGCCTGGCCTCTCCCTCCTCCCCGAATGCTTGGGAGCACTAATGATGCCAAGGGCCTGGCACAGTGTATGCTCTGCCTAGTCACACACTACCCCCATCCATGGTGACCTCAGACTGGCCGAAGTTCAGGAGCCACCACGGTCGCAGAACTGGCTCCAGGTGTCCATCCAGAAGGACGTGCAGCAGCTCCCCGCTGGTATCAGCACCAGAGTTTCCTGGCATCGTTACAGCCCACACACAACCCAGCCCAAACGGTGCCCAGGCTGTCACAGCCTGGGGCTCTCCCTTCAGCTCTCGGATCTAAACATCTTACCTGGAGGCTGTCCAGGACAAAACTTGGGGATCGTTCTATCTTCTGTTTCTCCCCATTTCCACGTTCCCATCCCCCCGGGATCCAGGATTCCACCAAGAATAGAAGTATGAGATTTACTCTCTCCCTCCAAGGCCTTCCTGCCCACCCTACCGGGATAACTTGTAATGACAGAAGCCACGCCGAGGGGGTTTCCCCAGGTGGATACTGGGACGTGGGTACCCGGGGGCGGAGAGCTGGAGGGAGGTTGTCCGAGGACCTGAACTTCCCGGCACGAATCCCCGAGCATTAGGCCTGCTCTGCCCCGCCCAGCCCATCCCGAAGTGGGGGGGGTCCCAGCTCTTTCCCGCCTAGCGGCCATCGGGGCCGCACTGCGCCGAGGGGTCCGCGCGTCCGCCTGCCTTACCTTGCGCGCCATCCCCGGGCTCAGCCTCCCCGCCACTCCTCGGTTTCCGGCGCGGCGCCAGCCGCGGGTGCGCGCGACCCTCGTAGGCGGCGGCCCAGGTCGGTGCAGGAGGAGGCGGGGCCCTGGGCCGCGGGGGAGGGGCGGGAATGAGCGCGCCCGGGCCCGCCCCCAGTCTCGTTGAGGCCGCCCCGCGCGCCTCGCATCCTTGGGTGGGTGGTCACGTTTCAGCCCTGAGTCCCCAGCCGCGGCGGCCCGGCCGGCGTAGGAGCGGACTACACTTCCCAGAATGCGCCGCGGCACCGGCCCGGAAGCGGGGGGCGGGGACAGGGGCGGGGAGGGAAACGAGGGGTGGGGCGGACCCCGCTGCGGCCTAGTCGCTACCCCTGCCCTTATCCCCGCCCACAGCTGCGGGCAGAGGTTGGGCGCCAAGACCCGCCGGGCCGGCAGTGGGCGTGCAAGTCCACTGGTGAGCGCCGCGCAGCACCCATTCTTTCCCGCAGCCAGCACTGAGCGCATCCCATGTGCCAGGGGCTGATGCTGGGGATGAAAAGGAACCCGTCTTTCCCAGAGGCTGCGGTCCAGGAAACCCGACCCGGAGTGGAAGGGGTCGAGGGTCCGTCCGGGCCAGGCCGCCGCGCGTCCTCAGATCTGTCGCATCACGGCTCGCCACAGCCGTGACCTACCTGCGTGTCACATTTTGCGTGCCTGTTTGCTGGTGTGGTAACCCCAGTTATTCCCGGCACGTAGTAGGCCTCAAATAAACGTGTGATGCTGGAAGGAAGCGGGTCCCACCCTCCTCCGCTTCCCCCTGCGTTTCCCGAACTCTGAAGGCCTGCTCCGGGCGGACGTGGCGAGAGCTGGGGTCTCAGCGGGTGCGGGCGAGGCGCAGCGAGTCTGGTTTTCCTGTCTGGAGAAGGACCCCGTCATTTTTATAGAAGGTTCTGGGAAGGGGGCCTGCGGGGCTGAGCCTGCTGTGCCAAGCAGAAGCTTGGAGGGGAAGGGGAGGCTGGGGTCCCGAGCAGAGGAGACGCTGCTCTAGGTTTGGAAGCTGGTCCAGACCCTGCGGCCACGCTCTGCCTAGGCAATATCGGAGAAAAGGAAAGGGAATTCCCAGCTCAGCCGCGCCGGCTGTGATCACCTCCTAGAATTCTGGGGTACGATGCTGACACCCCTTGACCCGGTCTCCGAGGAAAGGCGCACGCCCACCCGGGCAAAGCCTCCTCAGTCATACCCGAGACACCTTAGACACAGGACCGGCGTGTGTACTGAACAAGGACTTGGGGCTATCACTAGGGCTCCACCTCGCGAAAAGGGAAATCTTAAAAGTCCAACATCTCATCTCAAGAGCCCTACAGGCCACAGCCCTCAGAGTAAGTCCCCGCCAGGGATTCTGGCCGGGTCCCACCTCCGTGCCGAAGTGAGGCGGGCCCCTCACAGTAATGTGTTCCTGCTCCCAGCTCCTTTCCACCGCCCACCCTCTGGCCCTTGATCCCTAAACTTTAAAATCCCCTAAACCAGGGGTCCCCAACCTTTTGGGCCCTGGCCCAGTTTTGTGGAAGGGAATTTTTGCATGGACAGGGAGAGGGGTTGTTTTGGGACGAAGCTGTTACACGTCAGATCACCAGGCATTAGATTCTCCTGAGGAGTGCTCACCCTGCATCCCACATTCACAACAGGGTTCTGGCTCCTGCTAGAATCCGGCACCTGCTGATCTGACAGGCGGCTGATCTCAGAGATAATGCGAGCCATGGGGAGCGGCTGTCGCTACAGATGAAGCTTCTCCTGGCTTGCCCGCCCCTCACTTCCTGCTGGGCTGCCCAGCTCCTAACAGGCCAGGACTGGTACTGGTCCACAGCCTGCGGATTGGGGACCCCTGCCTTAAATACTTTCATAAAGAAATCTCCATTCAAGAAAGATACACCTTTTAACATGTGCAGATTCTTGGCACCTCTTTGATTCAAACTTCCACTTCCTGGCTAGGCTTCCTGCCCCGTTTGTGGACCATCAGTCACTAAAAGCCGTTCACCAACATGAAATTTGCTGCATGGCCAATTATTTAAATTCTGGAGA